AAAGAGTTGCTATTTTTCACAAGAAAGAACTGAGCTCCTAACCAAATTAAATGAACTAGCCATGACGGTGCAGAAGCTTGGCCCCAGAGCTTATGTTCTAAAATTGTATTAACTGATAATCTAATTTAATAAAACTAAGACAACTTCATTCACATTTGGCCTTTCAGGCATCAACTCTGTGAAGAGTAATGTCAAGAATTCCAAAGGCAAAAAAAATGGCTCTTGAAAAAGAGCTCATTAAACATCCAAATGTTTTTAATTCTTCAAATAACTGAATGATAATCCTCCCTTTCCCTCGGGCTCCAGTTACAACAGCAGGGCCCCAGCCTCAGGTGGCACAGAAGAGGAACTTCTGGCATCTGCAATCTCTTCGTGTCAGATTCTTCATGAAAACCGGTGTGGGGTGGGGGTGGGGGTGATGTTCAATAGTAGCAAGATTGGCTGACAATCAAAAGGCTGGATGTTCAAGTCCACCTAAAGGTATCATGGAGGAAGCTGGATAATCTACATTTGAAAGGAAAACCCTGTGGACTTCAATTCCACTCTGACCCATATAGGGTCGCCAGGAATCAGAGTCAATTTGATGACAACTGGTTCTAGGGTCCTCATCATTTTCCAGTCGTATGCTTGACTAGACAACTTGCTGTCCCAAATCAAACACATTCTGGAAGTGAAAGGCGCATTATTAATAACTTCATGAGGGTAAAAGGTACAAACCAGGACTGGCCTGAGTAACATGGAATGAGTAATCATACTAATCAGAGGGTTGTGGCTGTTAAGTGCCATCAAGCCCAGTACAACTCATAGCGACCCTATGAACAAGATCAGAACTCTGTCCTATCTTGTGCCATCCTCATCATCTCTTATTTGCTTGACCTCATTGCTGCGGCCACTGTGTTAATCCATCTTGTTGAGTGTCTTTCTTTCACTGACCCTCTCCACTTTTCTAAGCATGATGTCCTTTTCCAAGGAATAGCTCTCCTAACAATGTGCTCAAAGTATGTGCCTCCAAGGAGAACTCTAGCTGTACTTTCTCTAAGACATCTGTTTATTCTTTTGGCAGACCCAGCACTCTTTTCCAACACCACAACTTAAAGGCATCAATATTTCTTCTGTTATTCTTCTTCATTGTTCAGCTCTTAAGTGCATAGTAGGTGACTACAAAGACCATAGTTTGAATCAGGTACACATCAGGCCGTATATTCACATCATTACTCCTCAATACTTTGAAGAGGTCTCTGACAGCAGACTTCCCCAGTGCAATCCAATACATCTTTGAATTTCTTGATTGTTCATTCCAATGGTTTTGACTAAGGATCCAAGTAAGATGGAACCATTAACAACTTCAATCTTTTCTCTTTCTCACAAGATGTTGCCTACTGGCCCAGTGATAAGGATATTTGTTTTCTTCATGTTGAGACTGAATTTGCGTTGAAAACTACAGTGTTTGATTTTTCCGAACAAGTGCTTCAAGTCCTCATTTTCAGCAGACAAGGTTGTGTCATCTGCATAACAAAAGTTGTTGATGAGTCTTCCTCAGATCCCGATACCACAAAGTCTCAACTCCATCAGGAGTCCTTACAGGAAAAGACTGGCTTCCATTAAAGGTGGCTCTGGTGAGAAGAATTCAGGTATCAGCCGGACACCTATCTGGACTCACTCATTTGCCATGAAATCAGCAAGATTTCTGACCCTGCTACCAAGCCTACAAAGGGCACAGTATCTCACTAGAAGAAGAAGCCGTTTATCCACAGCTTACCACATTTTACACAGATCCTGACAGGACAGTTTACCCTTTTGTGTTTTCATGAGGGACCCTGGTGGCATAGTGGTTAAAGAAATCTCTGCTAACCACATGGTCTATAGTTTGACTCCACCAGCCACTCCAAGGGAGACAGAATAACAGTCTGTATCCATAAAGATTTACAGCCCCAGAACCCCTAAGAACAATTCTCTCCTGACCCACAGAGTCTATATAATAAAGAATGTATTTGAATGAACTTGGTAGAAGTAGGTTTTCATAAATACATGTGTATGGTTCTAATATAAAAAGATCAGTTGTTTTATACACACTGAACTGTATATAAAATGTTGTTGTTGTTATGTGCCGTCGAGTCGCTTGAGACTCATAGCGACCCTATGTACAACAGCCCTAAACTCTGCTCTGTCCTGTGCCAATCGCACTGTCTCTGACACTCCCATCCCGATTATAGCATTGATTTAAAAGAGAATAAAAATGTCTTTGTAAAATCTCTTTACTTCATAATAGAGATAGCAAAGATTTTGTAAGTGAATACATACAGAGGCTGTGTACTGTGCACCCGCACTCATCAACGATTAAAAAGCAGACAACTCAAAAAAGATTCAGTAAAAAGCAATGTATCACATGGAGTTAAGAGCCTCCTATAATAGCAAAGTCCTCTAAGTCTCTAAGAGAGCTCTGCCAGCCTAGTCAGTAGAGAGGTGCATTCCCAACCCAAAGGTGGGTGGTTCAAGCCCATTAGCTGCTCCTTAGGAGAAAGTTGGGTACTCTCCTTTCATGCAATTGACAGCTTCTGAAAACCCACTAGCGAGTCAGCTCTGAGTCTGTTCAGATGCAACAGCAATGAATTGGTTTGTGGTGTATTTTAACAGTCCCCAAGGGAGTCCCTCAGCTGTCCGGAAGAGTCTAAAACTCTCCATGCAACAACTGCTAGCAGAGACTCCTCTGTCTCACCATGTGAAAATGGCTCTAAGTTTTCTGGAGAAAATGGTAACCAAAACACTTTCCTGACAGCTTTTTTCCTCCTAGTAAGCCCAGCATGAGTTTCTTTCTGGTTTTGTATTTACAGTGACTTGGGGATAATGAGAAGACAACTCTAGGAGAAAACCCCTAGGGAGGCTCTAAAAATTAAAGAGGAAAAAAAAAAGAAAAAAAATATTAAAGAGGAGTATGAGTCTTGGAAGTAGCCCATGTAGCTGAGACAAGTGGTAATAGTCTCTCCTCAGAGGGCTTTTCTTACCCGGCTCTCTGATGCAACTGAGCAGGATGAAAATGGCTACCCAGTCAACAGCCTGAATGAAAGCCAAGAGCCTACTTTCTAATTAAGTCCAGCCCCAAGTGTGTGTGTTGGGGGTTGTGACAAGGACCACTTTAAACTAAGTCTGAGTCTGTGTGTTGGGGGCACAGATGGGAAGGGAGGTAGTCACACAACTTCAAACCACCTTAATTTCTTCATGAAAGGAAGATGGAAATCACAAAAAGTTTCACTAAAACCCAACTCCAACAGTGCCTTACATACGGCATAGAATGTAAATGGCTTCCCTGGACACAGCCTAGTCTATGTGACTGGCGCCCCTGGGGTTGTACAAAGGAAGTACTAATGTTGTATCTGCCTCAGAGGATCGCTGTAAAGCTTTGCCTTTGAATGGGTTTACAAGAAAAAAGAATTAAGTATTACAGAGTCATTTTAACCTTCTGTTCTTCTAGAACACCTTAAAGCTTAAAAAATGTAACTCCAAAATTACTCCAAAACTGAGCCGAGGAGTAATTCCATGGAGTTTGAGGCTGGGCACAATCATGGTTTATACCAAACCTCCTATTCCAACATGTTTAACCCTGGAAGGCTGGTTCAATGTCACCAATGACACACTTGAAAGCAAAGCAATGTCACAGAAGGAAACCCTCAGGGTGTCTCTGGAAATAGGACGGGGTAGCCTCCAGTGGCTTTCAGAATTAAGAGGGTAGGAATACATGTGTATAGGTGTGAATACCTACATGCTAATTTATGTGCAACATCACCCTCAGGCATTTTTCAGTGACAGCCCTTGACACTGTCTCCTGTTCTTCAAGTTACCTTCCTCAATGCATGTCCCCCAGGAAAGTCACAGCATGGGGTTCCCCTTAGCTACAGCAGGGGCCAAAGTAAACCCCTTTCAGCCTTCCCTGCACTACCACCAGCATACATAAGGATGGATCACCATGGAAGTCCCTCTACCTCTTCGGAGAAATGGACTGTGAAATGCTGCAAAGTTAACAGCTTCTGTCCTTTGGCTGCAGGGAGGACATCATCAGGGGCTCAGCTGGTGCTGAAGGCATGCTGGGTGTGTACGTCTGGCATGTCAGCACAGACTGAAGAACTGCAAATTCTCACTGGATGCAAATACTCCAGAATGCCTGCTGCCTCTTCTCGTTCCTTAGACTCCTTCTCTCAGAGTCTGGAGATGTACAGCACCCCACTACATCCCAGACAGGTAGGTGTAAAGGCACTATTAAACCTCTCACGAATCTCTCTGTTCAGCAGGGAAAGTAAAGTCCTCTCCTGTCACTGTTTTCAGTGAATTCTCTCCCAGTATTCTCAGAGGAAGCCCTAGCCCTAACGTCCTGTAACTTGGTGCCCATTGTCTCAAATATACTCATCATGCCCATCATTTCTCTCAGAATAAAATAAAAATAAATATTCATTTTGCAGCCTACATGTATTTTTTTTCTTATTCTTAAGTTTCTTTATTCCAACAAAAAAAAGCTTGTATTTGTGACTACCATTTGATTTGTAATAGCAGTTTTTCACTAGACACTCTTGTTCTTAGACACTAAATATTAAGAAAAGACCAAAGAAAACAATTTTTTTTAAAAAAAACACGCCAAAACCAGAAATTTTAGAATAGACCAGGAGAGAAGAGAAATAGTTCACAGAAGAGTGTGAGGACCTGCCAGTTCTCATTGATTGCAGGACCCAGATCCAATCCTATTTAAACACTAGCCTTCCCCCGCAAAAAAAAAAAAATAAATAAAATAAAATTTTCCAAAAAAAATGCTTCATAGTAATATAAACTAGATAAAAAAATGCCCCCATTTCTGGAAGAGATCTCATTGATGTGAAAGTCCCTACACATAACACCATGACAGAGCTGGGCTCGCTGCAGCCCAGCAGTGGCCAAGACACTGTGAACACAGCCAATTCGGGGGGGGGGGGGGGGGGGGGGGGGGGGGAAGGTTCTCGCTCACAGATGTGTGTGTTTCACAAAGGGGCCAAGAGGGTGTAGACGGTTTTCACGTAGACATCATCAGGCGGAGGCTTTTTCTTGCTGCTGGGCACAAGGAATTTCTTAATTGTAGGGATATTACTTATTTTCACGGAGTACCCCTGGCAGTGGGTAAATGAAGCGGGGATGTTAGGCAGTAACTCTTCAAGGGCCAAAATGGTCTGAATTAGGATCACATCTTCAAGGCTCAGCTGGCTGCCAATAAAAAAGGTCTGTCTTAAAATCTTTTCAAACACAGGGAAGTATCTGAATACAGCCTTTTGGGTCATGCTAACAATGCTCTTTTTTTTATTGTCTGGTTTTAAGAAAGGATGCATGATAATCATTTCCAGAAGATCCAGTGTTCCTTCCACATACATGTCAATCAGGGTTTTCTCCTTGAGGTCATTGCCGAAGAGGTGGAACTTTTCCGCTATGTAGTGGAGAACAGTTCGGGCCTGCACCAACTTCATTCCGTCAATTTCAACCATGGGCACTTGTTGGAACAGCAGGTGGTTACCATCCTGCAAATTCTGCAACTGGTCTCTTGTTTCTAAAAATTCTTCATCAAACTCCACTCCAGTAGCCACTAATGTCCATCTGATGGATTCCATGCGGCCTCTTCCACTGGGATAGTGAAGCTTGGGCCTTGATTCCATGTCAACCTTGAGTTTTCTGGATTTCCTCTGGGCACCCAGAGTTACCCCAGGGCTGGCTGAAGTCCCTCCAAGTGCAGCCTATAGTCAGCCTACATGTATTTCTAAAGTCCCTTCCTGCTCATGGATTCTTTTCTCTGCTCCTGTCCTTTTCTGCTGTATTTTTCTCTTAATTTGATCATTTATATTCTTTAGCATGCAGCCTATGACCAGGAAAGAAGCCTTATGCCTCCACTGATCACTGTCTTAGCCTCAGAGTTCACATTATTCTTTCATCAGGTCCTTCTGTCCCTTGCTGATAGCCTTTCATTAGGATGAAACTTCCGAAAAGTATTTAAAGGCCACAAGTTGCCATTTAGGAAAACAGACTGCCAATCATATAAGATGAAAGCACACCCTCCCTCTTCTCACTTAATTGCTTTTCCATCCAGGACTATGGTGAGCTCTGATGACCTAGTCGGAAGGGAGCCATGCTAACCACACCCTCTGGCAGTCTGAAGCCACCAGTGACTCTGAAGGAGAATGATTCACAATCTCCTCCCATGAGATTTACAGCCTCTGAAAACCCACTGAAGGGTCAGATGTGAGCTGGTTCTGCACTGACTGCAACTAATTGAATTGAAAGCTGTCCAAGTCTGCGATCCTCAGCCGAAAAAATGCCCTGTTATTATTCTCTCCTCTGTACTTTTGATTCTATCAAACTATACTGACTGTTAATTAGCCTGTGTAGATTTATTATGGAAAAATTTATAATTCCCATTACGTTTTCTAGTGTTTGGGATATTGTTTTGGATCCTACAATGGTTAACAAGCTCTCAACAACTAATTAGTCAACAGTTCAAATGCAGAGAAAAACATGACATTCTGATCCCACAGATTACAATGTAGAAAACCCTCTGGGGAAATTCTGTTCTATTCTTTAGCATTGCTTATGAATATGGAATAGACTTAAGAGCAATAGGTTTAATTTGGTTTTTAAGATTTTGAAAGATCCCACTTATAAACCAGTAACCTATATTATAAGACACGGCCACAAATCTATCTATGTATACCCAATTAATCTATGGCTTCTCAGAGGGACAGAATCAGCAGCCAGGAACCCTCATTCTGGAGCGGAAAGGAGAGGGTCCACCAGGAAGCACCCACTGGACCACCAGGAAGCACCCAGTGGACTCCAGGCCATGCATTCTAGTCAGCAGGTTTTTACCTCCTCAGGCCGGCTCAGCACATGTCCCTCGGGTCCTGTGATGCCCAGATCCAGGATCCTTTGCTGTTCCTGAAATGTTTAAAGAAAGCCAAGCTGTGAGAGAGACCTGGAGTTCAGACACCAATTGTTAGAGATCTGGATAGAACATAACTGGGGCAAGATGTAAAAATGACAGTGCTGCCACAATCATTAACCCACACTGCATGAGAAGCACTCAGCACTCTATCTATCCCAGACCTGAGTGAGCTGGACAGATGAATTACAGCCTCTCAGAAGCACTCAGATGACTGCCAGGGACACTGAGGGCTGTTGCAATCTCAGCATTTTGCTACAGTTGGAAAAGCCTCTGGGTTACTAGAAAGTGCACATCCTTTACCTAAAGATAGCTGCACAACAGCGCTGAGAGAAATGCTTTCTCCTGGGAAGACGCAGCTTCTACATACTGTGTATACGCTGAGAGGCACGTGTATTACCGACACTCACACTGTCAGGGGACTGTGAGCACAGAGCCTCAGGGCAGCAGCGCCAGTTCTCCCTGGCACTGCCCTGGGTGTGAAGATACTGCCGTCACTTCACACTCTTGAACCTGTCCCTTGCCCTGTAGGTGATGAAGAAATGATCAAAAGGAAAGCACGCTACCTCTGCAATGATGTCGCCATTTTCTGCATGGACCTGAGCAATGGCACCGATATCCCGGATCACACTCAGTACTTCGTATATCTGCGAGAGGAGGGGGAGGCAGAGACCATGATCAGTGCTTCCTGTTCACGAGCACAACCATCTCCCTGTCTGCTATGTTAAAGCTAGCTTCTCTGACACAGCCTAGGGCGATGCTTCTGGTCACATCTGGCAGAGCGGCAGGACCGCCTGGTAATTAGCAAGAGCAGCAGAACCTAAGAAGGCATGGATTAAGTGTCAGCAGCTCACGGATGACACCTTTGGCTGTGTGCTGCATTTGTTAAAGGAGCTCTGAGTTTATTTCTTGGCCACAAGGTCACATTTTTAGGCTGTGGTGAGGTTCGGATTTCTAAGCCTGCTACAAGGAGTGAAGTACTGGAGTCATACGCTCCATAAAGATACGTTATATCAGTGACTTAAGACAACAGTCATTTCCCTAGAAGCTAAGGGGTGACCATACACGGCAGGAAGCTTCCTCAGACCAACAGAAGTGGCCTGACTATACCAGAGGCCAATGAGCCTGTTCAGAAGAGAAGGCTTTTCTTACCTGGGAATCCGTGAGCTGGAAGCGATCCTTAAAAGCCATGTACACAAGGAAAGAATTCACTCCTAAAGGATGCACAAAACAGAAAGGTTAGAGGACTCTGAACCAATAAAACAAAGCCAAATAATACAAAAGGGGATAAGTAAATTATAATAAAACATGTATGTGGGTATATACACATAAAAAGTCAAAACTCAATTGTCACTGAGTCAAAACTAACTCATTCTTGACCCTCCACTGGGGCTTCAGAGGCCACAGATCTCATTGCAGGAGAGTGTTCATCCTTCTAGCAGCTCGTGGATTCGAACCACCAGAGAGGAGCCATCTTTGGGTCAGCAGCACAAGTTCCTACAGAACAGACAACTAAAACACGTGTAAGTTAAGGTGTATGTCTATATGTTAGAAGGGAGCTCTGGCAGCCTAGTGGTAAGGAGCTCTGCTGTTATTCTAAAGGCACATAGTTCAAATCCTTCAGCTGCTCCACAGGAGAAGATGAGCAATCTGCTCCCGTGGGATTAAACTGCATCTCAAAATCCACTGGAGGGTCAGCTAGGGGTTAGTTCCAACCTGAGTATACAACAATAACAATATAAGTTAGAGAGAAGGAGAATAAGAAAGCAGTTGGGATAAAATGTAACAAGCCAATGAATCTAGGAAAAAGTGCATGAAATTTCTTGGTACTATTCTTGCTTCTGTAAGTTTAAGACTACATCAAAATTAAAAGTCGAGAAGATGACTTCAAAAAGGAAATTAAGTGTCTATCAATGAAGGTCAGTGATAAAATGTCTTTTCTCTGATAGACAGATTGCCCTCCATATTGATTTTAAGGTACTTTCTTTATGCAGGAAAAAGTCCATTAGTACAATAAGAAGATGCTGCAATTACCATCTTGACATTTTATATTTTTTACATCCAACACATCAGGCCAAACATCAGTGCCTAGGATCCACCACTATTTTAAACACTTGAACTGATAGTTTCCTAGCCTTGGAGTTTAATTCAAGCCACCTGGAGAGTGTTTGGCCACTGCCGCTGCCTGAGTTAAAAGCTTCATGACATCTCAGCCCTTCTCTTCTCTCCAGGCAACAGTTACTATAGTAACTCTCTTGCCTGGATTTGGAGAAAATTCATTATATGTATAGAAAGTTAAATCCATTTGAGTCTGTCTCAAAAGTGAGAAAGGTCAAAGGCTACCAATTTTCTTTTATGTGGAACCTTCATGCTAAAAAGAATGCTGGATGACTCTAGTCTAATACTTTCATGTTACAGATACAATAAAAGACTAAAATTGAAGTGATTTGCTCAAGGTCATAGAGCTTGCTGTTGGAAGAGCAGAGAACTGAATCCAATTCTGAAATAATGCTAATTTCCCTCCGTATCACGCTACAGGGAGTAGATAGCCCAGGATGCTTCTGAGCCTAGAGGTCCTGGAACCCAAAATCAGTAAGTGCTCCTCTGAAGCCTCAGATCTAGTGAAGCTAGTACATGATCTAGGACTCTAATCTGTAGCCAAAGTCAAGGACACCCAGATAATGTGGTGTGGCTTCACTATTTAAACTCCCCTGAGGTGCCTCTGATAAAAGGGTTCCACAGGCACCTCGAGAGAGGAAAAACTGCTCCAGCCTCTCCTGAGATCATCTCTAAACTTTAAACCAAAAATATCTCCAAAGGTCTTCTTAAAACCAAACAATAGTTTGGCTTAACCAAAGCAAGCATCATGCTCTTTTGAAAACTACCTATATGGGATGAAATTGGCAAGAACAACTCAAAAGATTAGACCAGGAGCTTAGGGGACAGTGAATTTATGGAACTAAGGGAGGAGCAATTCAGAAGATGGTCTCCCAATTTGGAAAATAAAGTCAGTGTCACTGAATATCACATGGAGAACTACTGAACTAGTCAATATGCTACGTGCATATCCTCAACAGTGACAAATTATTAAAAATTAATCAGAAGATTCCTCCAGCCCTCTTTTTATCCCTGCAAAGACTCTGCTTCAAAAGAACAGTTGTAGGAAACTGAGAAGCACCCTCACATTATCTCAGGCTTGAAGAGTCTCATCGTCCTCAGATCTATGCCAGAGTTGTCCAGCTCTGCAAGAGGCTGTCTGCCTCCTCCATCTGCACACCTAGAGAACTGTCCACTGGGGGGGGGAACCCACTGGGGTTCTGTGTTTGTTACCCTTTGAGGGCCAATCACTATTTCAGAGTCAGTTCCTCAGCTTGACTAAAAAATATAATTACCTCAAACCAATTAGCTGAGAGCAGCTGTGATGTAAGAACAGATCTCAGTAATAAGGCTCATGGTCCCCTATCAGTGAAAGTTTATATTAGTATTCCATTAAGTGGGGGCCACCTCTAGTTAGCATCACCTGCAGCTTTTAAGCCTCTCTCTTTGGTAGGGGTGGGCATAAGGACGAGGCACCAATAAGACTTCAAACCATTATTCTAAGTTATCCTTACAGAGCTGTACCAGGTTATGAATTAAAATCGGAATATCTCCAAGGAAAGCTGGGTCAGCATAACCTACCATGGTCCTTCACCAGGGCTTCCATCTCCTCCTGGATGCCCTTGT